TATATATACACACACATCTATATATGAACAGCACCTTTTATATCAGTGTTATTTTGATGGAATGGGCAATGATTAACTTTATCTCTAATTATCAGCAGATACTGATACCATGCCGATAATATTGTGCATACCCATTTAAAATAATTAAAACAACCCCCATATTTTAACACTGACACCATTATTCTGTCCTGCAGTGAACACATGAAAATCTTAAAATAAGGGATACTTTTATTATAAATGACACTTCTTTAAATGATGATCTACATTTGGCCAAGCCAGTTCAACTTGTATTGCTGTATGTGGTAGTATAATCTAGTGGTAAGTTTCAGCTTTTTATTTCACAACAGCACACTTGACTGTACCTCTGCTTTGCTCTTAATCAACCTGCATTTATCCCCCAACAATAATTAAATTTCCACTCATGCCCAACACAAACTTCCAAGTGCAGCACATTGTGTGACAGCTTTGCTTAAAACTTTCCCTTTACCCTTTTTGAGTCAATCCTGTTTGCCTGTTAGCAAAAATTGTCAAACCACCAGAAACAGTCAGTCAAAGTAATCTTGGCCTTTTTGAGTCAACACAGTTCAAAATGGCCGCCACAGCCAATCTAGAGTTTTACAGAAGGTAAAATGTGGTGCAGCAGTAGCTGACAAGTTGTCCACAACACAGTCCAAGTGCCAACAGATCAGGCAAAATGGAGTTCATTGCACGAGATTTCATGTGTTGTCAAGATTTGATCAAAATCATAAAAGGATGAGATCAATATGCATCCTTTAATTCTTAAAATATACACGATACAATGAACTACATGACAGAATATAAAAAATTAAAGTAGGCCTAGACTTTAATAAAAACTTTTATTCTGTTTGTGAAAGTCTGGTTACCAGACAGAACTTAAAAAAGTTATCCTGTTTCTACCACACAAGTTTACATTTCTGTGCGACCGAGTGTTCATGTATGACGCCGTCACTTCTCCAGGAACCATCGTCTTGGTCTGATTCGCTGCAAACAACAACAGAAATATCCAAGTGTACAGGGGAGAAATAAGACAGGCTTACACGCAACAGCTCATGTCACAAAAAATACTTCACGTACAATAAACCAGAGAAAAACAAGTGTTTGCTGCTTCAGGTCACCAAGTCAGTCAGGAGTCCAGGTGTTCAACTTGTACAGATGTTCACAGATACTGGATCTGTCTCACACGCCCAGCTCACTTCTTCAAACAAAACATGAACTTTCAGAAGCAAAAACAAAAAAGTATTGATCCGTGATGATTTAGCTGGAGCTGGAACTGATAACATTTGTGCACTGGGGTTCACAGAACGTGCCAAAACGTCCATAAATGTCTTTGGCTCGAACAGCAAAATAGTAGGTGGAGCCAGACTGGAACTGGGTCAGCGTACAGGCCATGGGGAGAGGGAGGGCGTTGACCTCCCCGATCTTCTTCCAGTGCTGCTGCACCGCGTTGCTGCTGGAGTTGTCTTGATGGAAGGCGTAGAGGTGGTAGCTGTCTACAGCCGCGCAGCTCCGATCCGCTTCTGCAACGCTCCACGACAGCACGATGCCGGTCTGACCTGGCACCAGCTTCAGCTGAAGCTGCTGAGGAGGCGAGGTCTGCTCCGCCTCCGGGGGCAAACGAGGCGCCACGGGTGTAGGAGGAAGAGGGGGGAGACCTGCGCTGGAGCCCCGCGGCGGCGCTGAACTGGTTCCAGTACGGGCTTTCTGCGGAGAATCCTACACAAACACACACAAAGGGTTAATGTGGTTATACATTTTCAAAATAAAACTGTGAAAGTCTAGAAAATTAACTGGGAGTGCAGAAAATGTTTGAGCCAGAAGAATTTGATGAGTTAAAATTTTACTAAAATCAGTAAAAATAAGATCCAGTGGAAAATCTTGATAAGGTCAAGGTCAAAGTTCTTTATCGTCATCTGCACCACATGTGGTACACGTGGTGGAACCAAAGTGTGCACACAGGTCCCAGTTACATCCAACAGAAGAATAAATTGTAAAGAAAACCAGTGATAAGATCAAAGACGTGAAGTAAGAAAAATGTTGAACATTAAAAACAAAAGGACGGACAGAAACAAACTGGGGCTTTAAAAAAGTTTCATAATCTGGATTAGTTCCTTCAAAAGGCAGAAGCTTCAGTCCATTTCAGTAAAGAGAAGGAAGAAGCAGAGGAGAATGGATGGAGGACAAAAATCACAATTTTATTAATGAAGATGAAAGGATAAACCTCAAATACTGATAAAATGACGTGTTTCACTTATGGAATTAATTTGACAAACACCGGATTAGGGTGTTTGCACAATCTGAACTGTATGATACTCTGTACTGTATGATAATCTGAACTGTATGATAATCAGTACTGTATGATAATCAGTACTGTATGATACTCTGTACTGTATGATACTCTGTACTGTATGATACTCTGTACTGTATGATAATCTGAACTGTATGATAATCTGAACTGTATGATAATCTGTACTGTATGATACTCTGTACTGTATGATACTCTGTACTGTATGATAATCTGTACTGTATGATAATCTGAACTGTATGATAATCTGAACTGTATGATAATCTGTACTGTATGATACTCTGTACTGTATGATA